GGATTAAAATAAACCCCAGAACACACAGGGCTATTTTTAGGGTCGGTTTCAATCACTATTATATTTTAAATGCCTTTGTTGTTTTGTTGGTATCTGATCTAGATTTCATGTAAATTTAGACCCAATTTTGACTGTTGACATTATTTTCCATGTATGTTTTGGTGTTTCATTTCCTCTCAATATTTAGGTAGACTTTTTTTCTCTTATGACCCTGTCCAACTTCCTTGTTAAGAATTTATTGTTACATTTTTGTTATTGTTTTAGAACTCTGCTCTAGGTATTTATTATAATGGGAATAGATTTTATAATAATCTCTGTTTTAGTCAGGAATGGGAGAGGTGGGAGGTAGAACACCCAACATGGAGACTTTATTTAGGATGATGTTTCTTATAAGAGACTGGCATAAAGTTAATGATTGGTGCTTCTGTGTTTTTTTATCTTTTTGAGTAAGGATAATAGAGAGTTTTATATATTTTTACCCACCATCAGACAGTAGCTTTTTTTAAATAATTTTTTTATTATTATGTTTATTTATTTTAAGAAGAGAGAGAGAGAGACAGAGTGAGAGTGGGGAGGGGCAAAAAGAGAGTGAGACACAGAATCCAAAGCAAGACTCTAGGCTCTGAGCTGTCAGCACAGAGCCCGACACGGGGCTCAAACCCATGAGTGTGAGATCATGACCTGAGTCGAAGTCAGGTACTCAACCGACTGAGCCACCCAGGCGCCCCAGACAGTAGCTTTTTAATGTAACAATTTCAGCCATGACCATAGACTAGAACATACCTCTAGTTTTGGTGTTTGAGTCACTAATGCCACTAGAGTTCAGTAAGTAATTTGTTACAATTTTAAATATTTTTAAAGTCTTGACAAATTAAAAATATATAATCTGTCTTATTAAACTAAGGTTGTAATGGTGAAAAGATGTGGTCCTTGCTGCAGTAGCTTTGAGTCTAATAGAAGAAAGGCAAGTCCTCATAAAAAGTGATGGTGACCAGAGACATGGCTGAGAATGGGTGTGAGGAGGAGTGTGTGGATGGTTAGGCCTTGGTCCCAGTGGATGTGGCAGAGGAAGAAGGGAGTATAGAAGACATCTGGTTCTTGGCTTAGGTAGTTTGATGCTGTGAGTTAGGGACCATAGCGAGAGCCAAGGGGTCAGTGTTGGTCATGTATCTGCAGTGCCAGGGTGTGGACAGAGGGCATGTCCAGGAAGTAACTGGCTTTGTGGCCTGGAATCAGAGACCCCAGTGAGAGATGCAGGGTCACATGACTGAGGGTCACGTAGCAATAGCATAGAGATGAGGACAGTGTGTGCCTGGGATGGGAAGTCAGGAATGTGGGCACCTGTGAGGAAAAACGAGTATCCAGAAGAACGAGGGAGGTAGCTGTGTGGAGAGCATCAAGACTAGTTAAGTGAAAGAGGCAAGATACAGAACATGTCCCTTGATGTGACTCTGGAGGTGCCTTCCTCTGAAAAATGGAATTGGGGGCCTAAGAAGCAAGGGGAGTGAGTATCTTGTGAATTTTGTACCATGTTTGAGTATGACCTATTACAAAAATAAGTGTTTAAGGACAAGGCAAGGAAAGAGAAGTCTGAGGAAAATTAGTGGTCAGCGGTGTCAAATGATGAATAGGGGTCAAATGACATAAAGACAAAAGTTGCTATTGGCTTTAACAACAAAAAGCTTCAGCTGTCCTTGGAGGTGTGTGTGGGGCAAGAGGAAGAGAATTGAGGTTATTGCAGGTTAATACTTTTAGCCCCAAATGTCACTGACTGGTTGTGTGTTTGGGAGAGGGAGGTTTGGGAGGGGCATAATTTGAAGTTTCCTATTTCTCTTATACAAAACATTCCAAATTTAATTTAAATATTGAATATTAGAGCTGGAATAAAACTCCAGAGAAAGGGGTACCCCTCCACAGATTAGCAAGACCTGCCCAGGACCTGCTTCTCTGGTCTGGCTTCCTCACCTAGCAGCTGTATGACCTTGGGCAAGTTACCTACCTCCTTTGTGCCTCAGTTTCATTGTCTGTGGATAATAGCTGTATATTATACATCTGTTTATGAGAATTATATATGATGAAGTGCTCAGAACAATGCCTCAGTAGTATTATTCAGTAAAAGTTAATTATTACTTTATTATTCAAGCTACCATTCTTTCCAATATATTATAGCCATGATGTCCTCCTAGAATTTTTTTCTCAAAAAAGCCTTAGCCCTTCAATCCAGTTCACTGCTTTTTATTATTATACCCATCTCTTCCTAGACCCATTGACAGGTTTGATCGAGACAGACCACTGAGAGGCCGTGGAGGCCCAAGGGGGGCCATGCGAAGCCGAGGCAGAGGCGGCCCCGGGAACAGAGCTTTTGAGGGTTTTGACCAGAGAGGGAAACGAGATTTTGAGAGGTACGGTGGGAATGAGAAAATGTAAGTTCCTCTGTAACTGCTTTTTTGCCTTATGATCTTGGTAATACACGGTATGAATCTGTTTGTTGTGTGTTAATATGAATTGACTTGATATTAGTATGTGCTTATTCCTGAGGGAGCTGATCCTGGGACGGCTTTTCTGATCAACTTTTATGATTTGGAAATTGACTGCAGGCCTGCTCTCAGCTGAAGGGAATATTCTTTCTTTCTCTAGAGCAATCAGAACTGAAGACAACATGGGTGGCTGTGGAATTCGAACTTGGGGATCAGGCAAAGATACCAGGTATGGTGCAAATGTGTGCCTTTTGTGAACCTGCAATTAAGTGGAAATATCCAGATCTTTATTTTCCTTTTGTGAAAATAATGTCTTCTCTGCTATGCTTGCATTGTCTTTATACTTGTGTGCTGTTAGGTATAGATTGATTTTAGGCTTTTGTTTAGTGAGGTGACTTTTTTAATTTTTTTTTTTTTCAACGTTTATTTATTTTGGGGACAGAGAGAGACAGAGCATGAACGGGGGAGGGGCAGAGAGAGAGGGAGACACAGAATCGGAAACAGGCTCCAGGCTCCGAGCCATCAGCCCAGAGCCTGACGCGGGGCTCGAACTCACGGACCGCGAGATCGTGACCTGGCTGAAGTCGGACGCTTAACCGACTGCGCCACCCAGGCGCCCCAGTGAGGTGACTTTTTAAAGTGGGTTTGCTATGTTGCAATTAGATTTGAAAATGACTTTTAAAGTGGTTTTAAAGTTCTTTTGTTTTAGCCAAACAAATTTGTGTATTTGCTGATGCCCCAGCGCATGATACTCTACATTTGCATAGGCCTCAGAATGCTTTTTAAATTTCTGGATATTCTATACTTTTATTTTTCTGTGACCTTCCCAAGTTCTTATATGCATTGCATCTTGATTTTATGAAATCATTTGCAGGTTGAAGCTCAATGACAAATTTCACCAAAGGTTCAAATCTGACATTTCTCTGAGGTTTCATGGTGTCTCAGATCTGTACCAGTTTTGCTGCTTAGAAGAAGTACTTGGTTCTGCTGTTTCAGTCATTTCATGGCTGTAGGGGCAGTGCCTTCCTGGTGTCTGCAAAGAATAAGCAAGAAGACTTGAGGGCAGTACAAGGCAAGGAATGGATCCCTCCCAGCGCACGTTGTAGGAAAGACTTTCCACGATTTTGAAGCCTTGAGGGAATCCAGAATATAAGCTTTTTACATAAACTTACTTTTCTTTCCTTCTTTCTTTCTTCCTTCCTTCCTTCCTTCCTTCCTTCCTTCCTTCCTTCTTTTTTTTAAACTTTATTTATTTTGAGAGAGAGAGCATGAGCAGGGAAGGGGCAGAGAGAGATGGGGAGAGAGAGAATCCAAGCAGGCTTCGCACTGTCAACACAGAGCCCAACGCAGGGCTTGAACTCACAAACCGTGAGATTATGACTTGAGCTGGAATCAAGAGTCAGATGCTTAACTGACTGAGCCACCCTGGCGCCCCCATAAACTCATTTTTCTGAAATTGTTGTCCTTAAAGACAAACATACAAAACAATACTAAATATAATATTACATGTGCTACCCTTGCACATCTGTGTTGTCCTTGAAAGGAAAAGAAACTTGTTGAATGTTTCTCAGTATGGGGTTTCATAGGCTGTTAATTATGAATCTTTTAATTTTGTTTTATTTTACTTTGATATATATTTTAAAAAGTAAATACCTCTGAGTCATCTGATTTACCACCTTATCTAATGCTGCCACTCCATTTCAGTTGGCATTGGAACTTAAAATAATTTTGGCGTCAAGTAATTATGTACCCTAAGGGGTCAGCATTGGCCTTTTAACATGAAGAAGTAACCAGGAGCTGGGTGTGCTGCCGGTGATCTGGCATTATGTCCTTGTGCTAAAATGACACATGTCCGTGTCATTTTGGATTGGTTTGTGAGTGACTAAGTCAAAGCTCTGAGGTGGTAATAATTTGTAATTTAAAGATTCTCATAGAATAAGACTTAAATTTCTTATTTAATAAGTGGAGATTTTGATTTTGATCATGAAAACAGTTCAGTACAGTGGAGTTATGGGCTGCTTTTGATTAATGACAAAAGAGCAGAGGTGAGCCTACCGTAGCAAGGATGTTAATGGCTGGTGAAGCCAAACACTGCACGGTGTGTTAAAAGCTGGAGGGTTTTGCTATAGTTAGTATTCCTGTTTGAAGGCATTGGCAGTGCTAACTAAATTTATGAATGTTTTCAAAATGGTGCAATGAGCCATTTCCAATGTTAATGCTTCTCTTCAGCAGTTTGACAGTGAGTGCCTGAAAGTAGAGTTTTCTCCATCTGTGGTAATTACAAACATATAATATCTGATATTATTTCTTTGTTACCAATTGAAACACACACACGAAAGCAGTTTTCAGTAATGGTGCCTTCCAACTTTTATTTCAAAGAGCAAGATGGTTTTATTAACATTCGATTAAAATCTCTCCGCTGTCATAGATTTGGGTAATTCAAGTCTCATTGAATTTGAACTAGATAACAAAGCCTTCAGGTGTTCAATTCACTTTGTGGAATGTGCTTGTGCAAACAGGCATTTTCTGCATTCATATAACTAAAGTCAAAATATATACATCTGCCCTGGGGCTGTATCTTCTTCTGTAAATCTAACATTGGTGATTTACTTTCAACAAAATAACAAAATCTGCTAACATAAATTATTGCTAATTTTGAAACCTCATTGCTCTGTAGTTTTGGTCACATGGTTCTATAAGAGCCGTAAGCACATTAGTTTTATGTTTATTCATTAAATAATGTAGGTCAACACAGGGAGATGTGTGATTTCTCTTTTTTTTAATCAGCTGCTCAAGTTTAAGAATGCTGGTGTTTGTACATAGTCCCTTTTATGATTTTTAATTGTTGAAAGCTATAAACTATTAATAAACCTATGGTTTTTATTCCCTTGGTTTATTATGTTGCCAAGGGAGTAAAGAGAAAGTTGGAATAATTTGTGCTGCTGCTGCTGGATTTTGAGGCTCCTGGATGCCAGAAACTCCTGTGACCCTGCTGGAGTCAGGCTGATGAGCAGAAGCAGCCTTTGTGACAGGGCCTCCGCCAAGCACAGTGCCAGCCACGTCTTTCCACACATAGGGTGCATTTGATTTAGGACCTTTTTCAAAAATAAAGATTAATAATTAATTGGGGCGCCTGGCTGGCTCAGTCAGTAGAGCAGGTGACTATTGATCTCAGGATTGTGAGTTCAACTCCCACATTGGATGTAGAGATTATAGAAAAAATTAACTTAAAAAAATTATTCAAATTTTGTATAGAAAAACTCACTTTTAAGCTCATTACAATAGCTTTGCATTGAGAATAAAAAAATGTAGGGGTACCTGGGTGACTCAGGTCAGTTAAGCATCCAACTTCGGCTCAGGTCATGATCTTATGGTCTGTAGGTTTGAGCCCCGTGTCGGACTCAGTGCTGACAGCTCAGAGCCTGGAGCCTGCTTCGGATTCTGTGGTGTGTGTGTGTGTATGTCTCTCTCTCTCCCCCTACCCCTCTCGCACTCTGTCTCTCTCTCCCTCAAAAGTAAGTAAACATTTTTAAAAAATGCAGAAAGTCAATTCTGTTATTACAGGTCAATTTGTCTTTGCTTTTTAAAAAATAGCTTATGTTGGGGTGCCTGGGTGGCTCAGTCAATTAAGTGTCCAGTTTCAACTCAGGTCATGATCTAACAGTTTATGGGTTCGAGCCCCGCATCAGGCTCTGTGCTGACAGCCTGGAGCCTGCTTTGGATTCTGTGTCTCCCTCTCTCTCTGCTCCTCCCCCGTTGACACTCTATTTTTTTGAAACTATTTTTCCCCTTCCCTTTTCCCATGGTCCTCCTTTAAGTTTCTCAAGTTCCACATGTGAGTGAAAACATATGATATTTGTCTTTCTTTAACGTTGTTACAAATGGCAGGATTTCATTCTTTCTCATTGCCAAATAGTATCCCATTGTATATACAAACCACATCTTTGTCCATTCATCAGGTGATGGACATTTGGGCTCTTTCTGTAATGTGGCTATTGTTGAAGGTGCTGCTGTAAAGATTGGGGTACATGTGCCCCTATGAATCAGCACTCCTGTATACGTTGGATGAATTCCTAATAGCACTATTATTGGGTTGTAGGGTAGTTTGATTTTTAATTTTTTGAGGAACCTCCACACTGTTTTCCGGGGCGGCTGTACCAGTTTGCATTCCCACCAACAGTGTAAGAGGGTTCCCGTTTCTCCACATCCTCACCAATATCTGTTGTTTCCTGAATTGTTAATTTTAGCCACTCTGACTGGTGTGAGGTGGTATCTCAATGTGGTTTTGATCTCAGTGTGGTTTTGATTTGTATTTCCCTGATTTGTATATCCCTGAGTGATATTGAACATCTTTTCATGTGTGTGTTGGCCATCTTCTTTGGAAAAAATGTCTATTCATGTCTTCTGCCCATTTCTTCACTGGATTATTTGTTTTTCGGGTGTGGAGTTTGGTTAGTTCTTTATAGGTTTTATATACTAGCCCTTTATTTGATATGTCATTGGCCAATATCTTTTCCCATTCTGTCAGTTGCCTTTTAGTTTTGTTGATTGTTTCCTTTGCAGTGCAGAAGCTTTTTATCTTGATGAGGTCCCAATAGTTCATTTTTGCTTTTAATTCCTTTCCTTTGGAGACATGTCAAGCAAGGAATTGCTGCAGCTGAGGTCAAAGAGGTTGTTGCCTATTTTCTCCTCTAGGGTTTTAATGGTTTCCTGTCTCACATTTAGGTCTTTCATCCATTTTGAGTTTATTTTTGTGTATGGTGTAAGTAAGTGGCCCAAGTTCATTCTTCTGCATGTTGCTGTCCAGTTCTCCCAGTACCATTTGCTAAAGAGACTGTCTTTTTTCCAGTGGGTACTCTTTTCTGTTTTGTCAAACATTAGTTGGCCATACATTTGTAGGTCCAATTCAGGGTTCTCTATTCTATTCCATTGGTCTATGTGTCTGTTCTTGTGCCAGTACCATACTGTCTTGATGATTACAACTTTGTAGTAGAGGCTAAACTCCAGGATTGTGACGCCTTGGTTTGTTTTTTTTTTTTTTTTCCAACATAACTTTGGCTATTCGAGGTCTTTTGTGGTTCCATACAAATTTTAGGATTGTTTGTTCTAACTTTGAGAAGAATGCTGGTGCAATTTTGATTGAGATCGCATTGAATGTGTAGATTGCTTTGGGAAGTTTATACCTCTTAATCCCCTTTACCTATTTTGCCCATTCTCCTCCACCCCCATGCTCCTCTGGGAACTGCCAATTTGTTCTTTGTATTTGAGTCTTTTTTTTCTTCATTTGTTTTGTTATTTAGATTCCACATGTGAGTGAAATCATAGGATATTTATCTTTCTCTGTCTGACTTATTTCACTTAACATAAATACCTTTGGGTCCATCCGTGTTGTTGCGAATGGCAAGACTTTGTTCTTTTTTATGGCTGAGTAATATTCCATTGTATGTATATAATACAATTTTATCCATTCATCTGTCAATGGGCAATTAGGTTTCTTCCATACTTTGGCTATTATAAATAATGCTTCATTATAAAAGGGGTGCATATATCTTTTAAAATTCGTCTTTTCATTTGGGGCAGGGGGAATAAATACCCGGAGGTGTCATTACTGGATCGTATGGTAATTCTGTTTTGTTTGAGGAACCTCCATGCTATTTTCCATAGTGGTTGTACCAATTTACATACCCAATGGCAGTACACAAGGATTCCCTTTTCTCCACATCATCACCAACACTTGTTACTTCTTGTCTTTTTGATATTAGCTATTCTGATTGGTGTAAATGTATATATATCATTGTGGTTTTGATTTTTGCATTTCCCTGATGAGGAGTGGTGTTGAGCATCTTTTCATATGTATGTTGACCATATGTCTAGTCAAGTCCTCTGCCTATATTTTAATCGGACTCTTAGGTTTTTTGGTGTTGAGTTCTATGAATTATTTATATATTTTGGATATTTACCCCTTTTTCGATATATCATTTTCAAAAATCTTCTCCCATTCAACAGGTTGCCTTTTCATTTTTTTAATGGTTTCTTCCACTGTGCAAAAGCTTTTTATTTAGTTTGATGTAGTCCCAGTAGCCTATTTTTGCTTTTGTTTCCCTTGGCTGAGGAGACAGATACAGAAAAATATTGCTAAACAGATGTCTAAGAGTATACTGCCTATGATTGGGGGTTTCTTGTTGGGGTGGGGGTATTTTAGGGTTTCAGTTTTTACATTTAGGTCTTTAATCCATTTTGAGTTTATTTTTGTGTATGGTGTAAGAAAGTGGTCCAGTTTCATTCTTTTGCATGTAGCTGTTTAGGTTTCCCCAACACCACTTATTGAAGAAGTTGTCTTTTCACCACTGTGTATTATTGTCTCCTTTGTCATAGATTAATTGACCATATAAGCATGGGATTAGCTCTGTGCTCTCTTCTGTTACATTGATCTATGGTCTTTATTTTTATGCCAGTCCACTACTGTTTTGTTAATAGAGCTTTGTAGTATAGTTTTAAATCTGGGATTGTAATATATTCAGCTTTATTGTTCTTTCTCAAGAGAGCTTTGGCTATTTGGGGTCTTTTGTGGTTCCATACAAATTTTAGGATTGCTTGTTTCTAGTTCTGTGAAAAATACCATTGGCATTTTGATGGGGATTGCATTGAATCTAAGATTACTTTGAGTAGTGTGGACATTTTAACAATATTAATTCTTCCAACCCATGAATATAGAATATCTTCTCATTTATTTGTGTTGTCTTCAATTTCTTTTACCAATGTCCTATAGTTTTCAGAGTAGAGGTCTTTTAACTCCTTGGTTCAGTTTATTCATAGGCATGCTATTCTCTTTAATGTAATTGTAAATGGGGTTGTTTTTGTAATGTCTCTGCTGGTTCGTTATTAATGTATAGAAATGCAACAGATTTCTGTAGATTAATTTTGTATCCTGCAATTTTACTGAAATCATTTATTAGTTCTAATAGCTTTCTGGTGAGTTATTTACTGTTTTCTATGTATAGTATCATGTCATCTGCAAATAGTGACAGTTTTACTTCTTACCTATTTAGATCCCTTTACTTCTTTTTCTTTTTTTTTTTTTTTTTTTTTTTTTTTTTTTTTTTTTTTTTTTTTTTTTTTTTTTTTTTTTTTTTTTTGGTCTGATTGGTGTGGCTAGGATTTTCAGTACTTTGTTGAATAAAAGTGATAGAATGGACATCCTTGTTTTGTTCCTGATCTTAGAGGAAACACTTTAAGCTTTTCACCATTGAGTATGATGTTAGCTGTGAGTTTTCATATATGGCCTTTATTATATTGAGGTGTGTTCCCTCTATACCCACTTTGTTGAGAGTTTTTATCATGAATGGATGTTGAATTTTGTCAAATGCTTTTTCAGCATCTATTGAGATGATCATATCATTTTCATCCTTCCTTTTGTTAATATAGTATATCACATTGATTGATTTGCAGGTATTGAATCATCCTTGCATCCCTGGAATAAGTCCAATGTGATTATGGTGAATGATCCTTTTAATGTGTTGTTGAATGCTGTTTGCTAATAATATTTTGTTAAGGAGTTTTACATGAATGTTCATCAGGGATATTGGTCTGTAATTCTTTCTGTATTGTTTTTGTTTTGAGTTTGGTGTGAGGGTAATGCTGGCCTCATAGGATTAATTTGGAAATACTTATTCCTCTTCTAATTTTTGGGATATGAGAAGAGTATGTATTAACTCTTCTTTAAATATGTAATAGAATTTACCTGTGAAACCATCTACTCCTGGAGTTTTTTTGATTACTAACTCAATTTTGATATTAGTAATTGGCCAGTTACAGATTTTTTTTTTTCCTGATTCAGTCTTAGAAGATTGTATGTTTCTAGGAATACCCATTTCTTCTAGTTGTCCAATTTTTTGGTGTATAATTTTTTGTAATAGTGTCTAATGATTCTTTGTATTTCTGTGATGTCAGTTGTAAATTCTCTTTCATTTGTGATTTTATTTGTTTGAGTCCTCTTTTTTTTTTTTCCTTAATGAATCTGGCTAAAAGTTTATTTAATTTGTCCTTTCAGAGAATTAGCTCTTAGTTTCGTGGATCTTTTCATTATGTTTTTAGGCTCTATTTCATTTATTTCTTCTCTGATCTTATTTCTTTTCTTCTACTCATGTTGGGCTTTGTTCCTCTTTTTCTAGTTCCTTTAGGTGTAGGGTTAGATTGTTTGAGATTTTTCTTATTTTTTGATGTAGGCCTGGATTACTATAAACTTCCCTTTGAGAGCTGTGTCCCAAAGATTTTGGACCATGGTGTTTTCATTTCATTTGTGTCAAGGTATTTTTGATATCCTCTTTGATTTCTTCATTGACCCATTGGTTTTTTAGTAGCATGTCGCTTAGCATCCACATGTTTGTGTTTTTTCCAGTTTTATTCTTGTAATTGACTTCTGGCTTTATAGTGTTGTGATCAGAAAAGATTCCTGATACGATTTCAGTCTTTTAAATTTATTAGGATGTGTTTTGTGGCCTACCATGTGATTTATCCTCGAGAATGTTCCATGCATACTTGAAAAGAGTATGTATTCTGCTGTTTGGAGATGGTTTGTTTTATATCTGTTAAGTCCATCTGGTCTAATGTGTCTTTCAAAGCTACTGATTGATTTTCTGTCTGGATGATTTGTCCATTAATGTAAGTGGGATGTTAAAGTGTTGTACTATTATTATATCACTGTTGATTTCTCCCTTTATGTGTGTTTAATGTTGCTTTTTGTTCAGGTGCTCCTGTGGCAAGTGCAGAGATATTTACAATTGTTACATTCTCTTCTTGGATCGATCTTTTTATCGTTATGTAATCCCCTTTGTCTCTTGTTATGATTTTTGTTTTAAAGTCTATTTTGTCTGATATAAATATTGCCACCCCAGCTTTTTTTTTTTTTTTTTTTTTTTTTTTTT